CCTCTCTAGTCCCTCTCCAATGCGCATCTCCCCATCAGGGATCCCGAAGCGTCGCACAGGTAAGGACACGGGCCCTGCCCTTTCAGTTGCCTGTCTTTGTCCCCACTTGGATTTCTGTACCAGGCGGCCGTCCTCATGACAGCTCTGATCTTAGCATTGTGGTTAAAAGCACAGCTCCACTATCCACTGGCTGTTGACCTTGGGGAAATGACTTAATTCACCAGTTTTTTCCCCTCTTTTTAATGTAGATACTAGGAAATTTAAGATGACGTGTATGGCTCACCACGTATGTCCATTGGATGGTGTGGTATAAGAAATAATAGTGGTAACCGAGGGCGCTGTGGGAGCGTAGAACTGAGTCAGCCCAGAGGAGGTGACTGAGCTGAATCTTAGAAGATGAGTTAGGGTTCACTGTGTTAAGAGAGACGATGAGAAATGTCACAGCCACAAACAGCATGTGCAGAGGCCTCAAGGTAGAACAGCACGGCTTGTTTGGGGAGGTCCATACACTTCAGTGATTCTGGAGAATAACTACGATTTGGGGAACAGGGAGAGTTTGGGGATAGTGTGTGGAGAGAGATGAGCTAGGGAGGAGAGAGGGGCCTGGCTCGCGGGGGGCCTTGCATGTGAGGCTAAGGAGCCTGGGCTTTGTCCTGTGGGTGCTGGGGCACCATGGGAGGGCTGCAAGCTGGAAGGGCTGGGTCAGACCTGCTGGAGAGGTGATCATAATGAAATAACTGAGTGGCTCAGGGCTGCTGGGAGCTCAGGGCTGACACTAAGATTTGTCCTGGGGATGTGTTCAGGGAATTTATTTTGGAGGAGGTGACAGCTGAACAGCATGTGCAAAGGCCTGGAGGTGTGACACAGTGGCGTATTTGGGAACAATAGCAATTCAGCAAAGTTGGAAAATAAAGTATTACGCGTATGTGTCGTGGGAGGTTAGAAGGTCAAGTGGAGAGAGATTAGGTAGGATGGTAGGACAGAATGGACATTAAAAGACTTTACCCTATGGTGGGAAATGGGGAAACGTGGAAGGCTTTTGAGCAGGGAAGGGACAGTGCCAGCCACAGGTGATAGAAGGTCCCTCTGGGGCCACGGGAGGGAGTCACTGGGGTCCGAGAGACCAAGGAGAAGGTAAGAGTTGATGAAAATGGTTACAGCTACCTTTTCTTCACCATGTGTTAGTATCTCAATATAGATCCTCTAGAAACCGGCTCTGAAGCTCTGAAACAAGGATTCAAGTGCAAGTTTCTTGAGTGGGTAGGAGGTGGGGTGAACACAGTGATTCAGGGAAGTGGAGGCAGCCACTAAAAGATGTGTTCTTAGGTTGGCTGCAGCAGTGGGCAATGGCACTTAATTCTCTGGGGAAGCTCTGGGAATCCGTGTAGGTGTGTGCTCAGAATTATCTACCTGTCGTGTGAGGAGTTCGGGTGTTTATACAGTAGCACCCATCAGTCCCTGGGTGAGGGTTATTCCTAGGGCCTGTTGACTCCCTGCCACTTCCGGGCTTCTGAAGTTCTGGAAAATCTGTCTGGGACGCATGGAGATGATAAGATCCTAGGGATGTAGGCGGTGCACGGAGAGCGGCTGCTAGCGTCAGGGACTGGGTCGAGCCCGTTACATCCTTGTTTACTTCTTGGGATTGTTAACTTTCTGCAGATGTGGGCGAATGAGGCACAGAGAGATTAAGTAACCTGCTCTTGTCACACAGCCAGGAGATAACAGAGCTGGGGCAGTGGCTTTGGGCAGGTGGAGAAGGGATGGGACCCAGAGCCTTCTCAGGGGCCCATCACTGAGCCTGAGCGAGTTTGCCACATCGAGCCCTTTGCCTTCCCAGCTCGGAAGCAGCTGTCTAAACGGACAATTCACGATGTTCTGGAAGAGAAGAGTGAGGACAAGAATGGAGAAGCCAAGCGGAG